ATTATGACTTAAAGAAGATGAATGGTACATATTAAATAAAAAGGGGATGTATTTGTAGATGAGACAGCAACCCAACGACACTAATAACCAACAAATATCTATGGTGATTTATAGCAAAAATGAGGAACTTGTGGATCAAAAACTTCACAAATAAAACTGCTAAACGTTGTAACCTTTGAATTTGAATTAAAAAAACTGACCCATAGCTTTACTAAATGCTTCAAAATTTGACATTGAACCTTTGCCAGCCTGCCATTTTCCTTTGAATTGAGCCATTTTGTTTAAGTTTTTTGTATATACTATCAATGTCGGCCGATTAAAGTATTACACTATGTGTGGTTTGCAAGCTAGATAAAGGTAATCACGAGCTCACTAATCGTACCTGGTACTTATAATCTCCTATGTAACTCATATATGTACAATGGTTAATATCTTTTTTCTAATCTTATGAGGTCCAATTCGTGTCATAATTTTCAATTTTTCATTCAGTTGTATATGATAATCAATTATTCATTATAATTTAATACCAGAATTAACCAAAAAAATGTATATTTATTTCAAACATGATATTTTTCAAGAGCATAAAGGATAATGTTTTTTTTTTATTTCGTTATAACTTCTCTTTATATGTTTATTTTCTTTATTTTTTTGGTCAATTTTAGATGTTCATAGCTAATAACATGTAACGAAATTGATATCAGAAGAACGTTGTTTTAGAGGGAAAAAAAACAATTGCGGGTATTTCTACTATCTAAAAATGAAACTAAAAAGAATCGAGAGATATTGGATAAATGAAACAAAAGGTCTACCAGATATTAATGTTTTACTATAATTATTTGGATAACAAAAGACTTAGTATTCGTTGCGTTGTTTTGTCAAAAGTGGAAGGGCGAGTTAGCACAGGAAATGTGAAGTCAAACCAATATTTGAACAAAACCTATGGGTTTACGTTCTAGATTAAGTGGTTTGTGTATGGAGTGTTTGTTTGTCCTTGTAATCATTGTTGAGGTGGCAGAGAAGTTCAGACTGTCGGAGCATGGCCGGTCATCGCTATGAAATTTTCCAGTCATAAAATGGTGAAATACTTTCATTCAAAATAGAAAAAGTAAGAATTAAAAACCAAGGTCTTTCCACCCGTAAAGATCTATTTCAATATGAAAATATTAAAATTCGATTTAAAATGTCATTTCCAGCGTCAAATGATAGCTTATTGTACGCTAATTCTAAAAATATATGATTTTTATACATTTTTTTTTAAATAATGGAGATAATTTGTTACTTTCGGTTTGAAAAACTTTACTTCCGGTATTATTTGAATATTAACTTGACACTGATTCCAAAAATATATGGTTCTATATACTTTTATATTAAATAATTGCAAAAAATAGCTACTTCCGGTTTACACATGGCTTTATCATATATAAATATGAGGTAAAAGCAAAGGTCAAAATCTAGAACGTCAAATTTACCTATGACCTTCAGTTCAATTTCAAGGTCATAAACCAAGGACCCCAAATCAAAAGACCCTAGGTCTTAATTATATATGGTTAATGAGTTATATCACCATGCGCGTATTTTTAAATACAAGAGGGGAGAAAACTCAAATTTAATGTAAGCGTACCCTTTAAACCAAAATGTATGTGTTACGACATGTCGCAACTAACAATTTAGTAAACATATGTTGTCGATATCTTATACGGTTTTTGAAAAGAAATAAAATTAAGCCAAAATCAAAATTAAGAATATGACCTTGACCTTTGACCTTGACCAAATTTTCATATTTTTCAAATCAAAACACCCTAGGTCTCTATCACTTATGGTTTACCAGTTACAATTACATTTTACTTAGTTTAATCACAAAAGGGGAAATAACTCTCATATGGACTCTCCGGACCGCTTCGGTCAAAATTATTCTTAAGATCCTAAGGATATAACGAGCAAATTTGTGAAATAATTTTGTCGTAATCTTTTACGGTTGCGAAGGAGATGCGCACACAAGAAAAACAGTGTTAGGGGAGATAACTCTTACAATAAAAAGTATTCGGCTAAACAGGGTCAGTTTCAAAATCGCAATAACAGTTCGATATCATATGCAAAAAATCTAAGCGACATATTGCGAAACCACAAAGCAAGTAAGAAATAAATGTGGAAGAAGAAAGAAATATTAATAATTAGAAACCAATTGTTCAGAGAACAATTGAAGGGCTTTCCACATCAATTTTCTAAAATATTAATGAAAAGCTACTTCTGGTTTTCTGAAAGTTACTATTGGCGTCGAAGCATATGGGTTTCTTCATACTGGTTCAATAAATATATGTTTCTATATATTTTTTCATGAAATAAGGGAGATAATTGTCAACTTCCGGTTTAAAAAATGTCACTTCCGGTCTCATCTGATAGCTTTATTCACACTGATTCCCAAAATATATGGTTCCTATATACTTTTGTTTGTAATAAGGGGGATATTAGGTACTTCCGGTTTATTGAAGGTCACTTCCGGTCTCAAATGATACATGTAGGTATTTGTATGCGTATTTAAAAATATTGATTCTAAGTACTTTTCCATGAAATAAGTTCAAAAAACGGCTACTTCCGGTTTACTCAAGGTCACTTCCGATTTAAGATTTTCAAGGTCATATGTCAACGAACAGTTTGCAAAGGACCCTATGGCTTTATCATGTACCAAGTTGGAGTAATAATCAATTAACCTTAAATCAAATCATTATAGGGACAATAACTCCTATAAGATGTCATTGGATTGTTTCAGACCAAATGTATCATATCTTCATCACAATTAGGCAAACATTTTGCAATACTTTTTATATATATATCTTTAAAAGTGACAGAGGAGATCATAAAACAAGGAAAAGTCCAAATTTAGAATATGACCTTGACCTTTCATCTTGACCTCAATTTCATTTTAGTGAACCAAAGACCCCAAATCAATATACCTTAGGTCTCTGTCACTTACCATTTATGCTATACATTAATGTATCACTTATGTCAAATACAGAAGGGGAAATAACTCTCATATGGAGTCTTCGTATTGCTTCGGTCAAAATTGGACAAATCATTCTGAGGATATAACGAGCAATTTGGTAAAAAAGAGTTGTCGCTTTCTTTTACGGTTACGGAGGAGATGCACTCACAAGGAAAAAGTGTTCTGGGAGATAACTCCTACAAAGAAAATTATTCGGTTAAGCAGGATTAGTTTCAAAGGCGGATAAACTGTTCGATATCATATACCAAACATCTAAGCGACATCTTGCGAAACAAAATTTATACGCAAGAAAAAAAAGTGGCATAAGAAGAAAAAAAAATAAATTAAAAACCAATTCGTAAGTGGCCTCAAGCTAATCCAAAGATAATGTTGAGCTCTTACAAAAAAACGATTTAAACGTGTATAGAAGATATCAACAAACTTTTTTTTTTGACAAATCAATCTTACCAAAGTGAGGTACTGTGCAATTATTGCAATTATTTCATTGAATGTGCATTTCAGACAAAATTTCGTTGTAAAACAATAAATTCAATATGGCAACCGCAAGTATACAACAAAATGGCAGTGACATCAGTCATAACACAAACCTACCCAAGGCTTATAAGACGCCGTTAAAGCAGGTCTAATACCTAAAAACTATCTGAATGGTGAGCCTTCTGTCAATCCTGATGAAACGCTCAGTTCAGTAAAACCAGTATTTATTTTGGAAACCGACCTCTTCGGCGATGTGAGACCAAGTCAAGACCAATACCTTAATCACATCGAACTTTACAAATCCATTAACTCCTTATCCCAATGAGCCACCTGAAAGGTCTACAGCGTGTCAGAGGTATGTGGCGCATATACCCAGATTCTGATATTGACAGAGAAACTCTAGTCACTAACAACATTGCTATACGTAGCAAGCTTATCAACATATACAGTAGTAACCCAGGAACAAGCGAATATTCTACACCCTTCTACTTACGTGTTCGAGTAAAAGATGTACCTTGTTCAGCTGATGATGGTCAGATCTTAAGAGCAGTTGAAAATGAAGGCAACTGTAATGTGCACAAAATATTCAGAGAAAGGCTTCGTGAGGATGGGTTGCTAACAAATTGCCAAACGGGCGACCGCATTCTTCTTTGTGACCCATTAGAAAAACCCCTACCAAGAACCATTAAAATAGGCAAATATAGAGCCATGGTCTTCCATTAAGACCAAATGCCATCATCAAATGACAATCTTATTTGCAACAAATGCTTACAAAATGGGCACAAATTTCGGGATTGTCAAAATGATTGGGTTTGCAAGATGTGTAAGTGCCCAGGTCATAAGCAGGCAGATTGTCCAAGCTTTGATGTTCACAAAGAGGAAAGTAACAACATGTCTAACGAAAACAAAAGCAAAACCTCATCTGAAAGTGAAACAGACAGTGATGGATCAAACACTGAGTCTATTGACGAACTTACAGAAGTCAACACTAGAACACAAGCCACCTCACAATTAACTACAACAAACACAAATCCTTAAGAAGTATCGAGTGTACTAGGAAAGGCCCTGAATAAAATAACAAAATCAAAATTTTCCTTCGAAATTAAAACCAACAATATTTCGGATGAAGCGGAAACCCCAAGAAAGAAAAAAAAATCAACAAAAAAAAAGAAAAAATCTGAAGAAGTTAACGGAAAAAAATCAAACAAACAGACAACGATGTTTCAATTTAGTGCAGCTACACCAGACTCTCGCAGTGAAAAGCGTCAAGCAACGACACCAACTGATAAAGTACATGAACGATCCGTCCCTATTCAAAAACCAAAAGGGCATTAACTCATTGGAAGTCAACATCAATACAAGTTAATGTAGTTTACTAAAACAAACAAATGAACAGTAGTGTTAAATCCCCCCTTTTTACGTTGTTGTCAAAATTCCCCAATATCTTTTAAATAATCATGTGTGTATGCAAATTTATATATGTTATTTTGCCTTTTTTTTTTTTGTTTTTACTTATATTATAAAAAATAAACAAAAAAACGGATATGGTATAATAGTAGATTATACATATTCCAATGAAAGAGTTAAACACAATTATAGATATACATGTCATTTATTCTTGATAATCAATGGTATTACTTTTTTAAAACCTCACGATTCACTTTATGAAAAACAAAATCCCAAACTACTAGCTAGGAGTTATCTTAAAAATTGGAACACATCTATCAAATGTTTTGTAAATGAAAACTTCAACATAAAGTTTATGTCAACATAAAGTTATGACACATCAGTAGTTTCATATGCAAAGATATTCCGATTAGAGCAGAAAAATTCTAGCAACACATTTTCTCACTACCACAAATTAAATAATGTAATGAATCCAAGGCTATCATGTCTATTAAATCCCAACAAATTTAGGTCAAACATTGCACGAATATTCCATCTTCTTGTGCAATTCTTCGTCAGTTTTCACTGGATATTCAAAAACGCACTAAAATGGTTGAGCACACAAAATAGGAAAAACCAATTAACATGGTTAAGTTGTCATATCATTCATGGCATTATGCTTCTACTTCACATCCAAAATCACAGTCGTCACAAAACAAAATTAAAATTGCTCCTATTTATGTATCATGAAACTCCAAAAAGTAAATTAGTGCAAATGCACAATGCAATATCTCTGCCAAACAACAGGTTTAACCTGAAAATAAAAATAAAAGTAACAATAATAAGATTGAAAATTTCTTTCAAACACAAGCAGGTTAAAAATAACAGGAAAATAAAGTATACCATATATATCATAACTATGTATCATACAACATAATGTTCATTGTCATTGAAGTTGTTGTTATTAAATTTATGATATTATGTAATTTAGAAATTAATCTGCATACTTTATAAATGTATTCAACTTATCTACTACATATGCTAAAACTATTGTCTATATTGTATACTTTTAAAGACATGTGGAATATAGCAATGAATACTAACATATATAAACAATGCAAAAAAGAAAGTGTCAAGCTCTAGTTCAATAGATTGTTTTTTGATATATATTTTTTTGTGCACAACATATATTTATTTTAATTAATTACATCTATAATGAGTGAAAAACTACATATATGTTCCTTAAACTGTCAGGGCTTAGGGCATAAAGAAAAAAGAGAAAGACTAAACCTATGGTGCAAAAATCAAAAGTGTAATATTTTATTCATACAAGAATCACATTTTATTAAAAAAAAATGAAGATGTCATAAACAATGAGATAAAAGGCAAATGTTACCACAGTTTCGGAAATTCTTAATCAAGAGGGGTCTCAATACTAATCAAAGAAAACATTAAACATAAAACTATCAATGACATTAGAGATAATGATGGAAGAATAATACTCGTTAATATAGAACTTGATGGTAATATCTTTACACTACTGAATGTGTATGCTCCAAATACTCGTCGAAACAGAAACTCATTTTTCAAAAAATTAAATAATATCATTAATAATAACCGTTTAGGAATAATCATAATGGGGGTGACATGAATGAAACTTTAACATCATATGATAGAAAAAGCATTAGATGTAATAATCAAAATAAACCTGTCAATAGTTTAAAACAACTAGTAAAAAAACATAAACTTATTGATATATGGAGAGAACTAAATCAAAACACCAGTCAGTTTACTTGGAGAAGAAAAAGCAATATAAATGTCGCAAGCAGAATTGATTTTTTTCTAATAAGCCCAGATATAAGACCTCATATAATATCAGCAGACATAAGACCTGTACTAACTTCACATACAGATCATCAAGCCATCTCAATACAAATAATACTTAAAGCTCAAAACAAAGGCAAAGGTTTTTTTTAAGATAAATAATAGTATAATGAATGATGAAAAATACAAAGAAATAATAATTAATCTTATAGACACCCATAAAGAAAAAATACTCACCAAAAATAATGATCCTAGAGTTACTTGGGACATTTTCCAAACTGAAGTAAGGGAGGTAACCATTGCATACTGCAAACAAAAGGCTGCTGAAAGTAAAAATGAAATAAAAATTTTAGAAAACAAGTTAAAATGCTTATATGAAAAATGAAAATTCAGAAAATTATAAAATAGAAATAAATAATGTAGAAAACAATTTAAAAATTTATACATAAAGGAAACTAGAGGTGCACACATTAGGTCCCGAGTCAGATGGGCAGAAGAAGGGGAAAAAAATACAAAATACTTTTTGGGTCTTGAAAAATCAAGACAAACAAAAAAAACTTTTTCTGCCCTTAAAAATGATCATGGTAATATAGTTACAGACGCATCAGATATACTTATTCTTGGGAAAAATTACTACCAAAACTTGTATAAAAGTACTGAACCAGACCCTTCTGAAATAAAACAAATATATTAGCGAAAGAAAGATAGATCACTTACTATCCAATAATGATAGTCAACCATTGGGCGGTAACCTAACAATAGAAGAATGCACAAATGCTATATTCAATATGAAACTGAATAAATCCCCTGGACTAGACGGTCTAAGTGTAGTATTTTACCGTACTTTTTGGTCAAACCTAAAAGAATCTGCAGTGAAAGTATTTAATACATGTTATCAAAAAGAAGAAATGACAACTCTCCAAAAAATTGGTGTTGTTTCCCTTTTATATAAAAAAAACGATCCATTATCATTAGATAACTACAGGCCAATAACTTTATTGAATGTAGATACTAAGCTTATGGCCTATGCCTTAGCGCAACGATTAAAAGTGGTGTTGTCCAAAATTATTCATAGTGATCAGAATGGTTATATAAAAAATCGCTACATAGGTTTTAACATTCGCCAGATTCAAGATATTATAGATTACTCAGAAAAATTTCATATAGATGGAGTTTTATTGTTCATCGACTTTTCCAAAGCCTTTGATTCTTTAGAATGGCCCTTCATGTATGAAGCCTTATTAAAATTTGGATTACCACACTCCTTCTTAAAGTGGGTTAAAACTTTATATAATGATACTAATGGGTGCCTGACGAATAACGGCTGGATCTCAGAAAACTACAGTCTTCACCGTGGGATAAAACAAAGATGTCCATTAAGACAGATTCTAACACTAAAGGTTTTCAAATTAAACTTGATGAAAAAACGCATAGTCTAAAAATTTCTCAATTAGCTGATGACACAACTCTCTTTCTTAATTCTAAACATGAAATTAGCCTAGCATTAAACCTAATAGAAATATTCGGAACACTTTCTGGTTTAAAACTCAATAAATCTAAAACAGAAGGTATATGGTTGGGTAGACTCAAACATTGTAAAGAAAAATTTGAAAATATACACTTGAGCAAAGAACCAATAAAAAGTTTAGGTGTCTACTTTGGGTTAGATAAAGACAAATGTGACAAATTAAATATTGAAAAAATAATGAAACAGTCAAAAAAATTATAATATTCGATTGGGAAAGAAGAAATTTAACAATGATAGGTCGAATAACAGTTGTTAAGTCACTTATCTTACCCAATCTGACTTTTTTAGCATCGGTTGTTTCCATTCCCCAAATCTACATAAAAGACTTCAAAAAACTGATATATAATTTTATATGGAACAATAAACAAGAAAAAGTTAAACGTTCAACACTTAGCAAAGATCACACAAATGGGGGTCTGAAAATGACAGACATTGATAATTTCTTAATTGCATTACAAATTTCATGGGTTAAACGATTAACTACAAAGGAATTTGCTAATTGGAAAGTCATTCCAACATATTATTTTAACAAATTTGGTAAAAACATCCTTATATTTCATATGATGCCAGACAACATAAACTCAATATCCAATTTAAGTAATACACTACATTCATTTTACTTGAACATATTAAAGAGCTGGTACAAAGCAAATAATACACCAACAAGTATCACACCAATCACAAACTTTAAAAATATTAGGCAGCAAATGTTGTGGGGTAACAAAAATATAACATTTAAAGGAAAATGTTTAGTTTATCTTAATTGGATAAAAGATGGTATATTTACATCAATGATATTATTGATTATAAAGGGCATATTTCACAAAAAGTTATATTGGAAAAATTAACCTCTAAACCTAATAGGATCTCAGAACTTTCAAAATTGAAAAATTCAATTCCAAAACAATGGCTAAATACATTAAAATCTGATATATCCATGAAAGCTTCGGTAAAAACAAATTTAAACTTGTCATTGACTGTTAACAGAACAACTAAACTAATTGAAAATACGTTATCTAAAGAAATATACAACCATTTAAATATCAAGAATAACGAGAGACCTATAGGATTCTTTAGATGGAAAAACATCTTCAAGCTAGAATCAATCACTCCAATGAGTAACATGCTTCAATATACTTTTTCTTATTTAATAAATAACAAATATAAAATGTTAAGATGGAAATTGCTCCATTACATCCTCCCATGTAAACAATTACTACAACAATGGAACATAGAAGATACAAGTATGTGTGTCCTGTGTAATTTGACTGAAGACTACGAACACTTTTTTCTCAAATGTCAATACTTTCATGAATTTTGCAAATAAAGTATATGCGCTTGTAAGCAATACAAAGATAGGGTCACATATATTTAATATAAAAACTTTAGTTTTGGGCTATAAAATACATGATCCTATGTATCATGATATCTTTTCTTAAATATCTTAATCTATTCAATTCATAAAAGTACTCATATATCAAATTATAAACAAAAAGGTATAGATGCTTATGCAGTTTTCTGAAATGAATTTTTGAATAAATACGAAATTAACAAATTCATTAATGCTAAAAACAGTAAATTTTTAAATGATATAAAAAGATACATATGATCATGAATAGCTAGAAATCTACTATTTTCAGATATACGAAAACTTGTGTAAAATCTCATCATAAAATTGAGAATGGAAATGGGGAATGTGTCAAAGAGACAACTACCCGACATTAGAGCGTACAACAGCCGAAGGCCACCAATGGGTCTTCAATGCATGTATGCATTAAATAGATCTGAACACGTGGTAAGAAATTAAAACAGCATGCTTACTGAAAACGAAAGTACAGTAGTTGTCTCCAAACTCATATGCGCATAATTTATTACACGACGGCTCAATCAGAATGTTGAAACTAACTTACGACTCCAAAACTTACCACTTCCAATATTTAATTAAAGTTTAAGCTGTTTGCGAGAACAATCAATAAGACGCATGAATTCATCAGGACAACTAATTAACGGTTCTTTACAAAAGGTTAAGGTCAATGATCATAAAGTTCTAATACTTAGAAACAAAAGCGGACAAAACTGCACATTTTCCGTAATCAGGCGATCATGTATTTTTCAAAAATGTTTGTATTAAGTATGAGTTGTAAAACTCACTAACTATTTATAAATATGAATTCACTGGGTAATTTCCCTGGTTATTCAGTGACTAATTCACAGGGATACTCGGCCAACTGCTGTAGGTCGAGTAATTTGTCAATACAGCAAAGAAAAGTGCAATAAAGATATTTTTAGATGAAAAAATAAAAAAAAAAACAAAACAAACAATTGTTCAAAGAACAATTGAAGGTTTTCTTCATCAGTTTTCTAAATAATTGATAAAAAGCTACTTCTGGTTTACTCGAAGCTACTACTAACGTCCAATTATATGTTTCATACTGATTCAATAATTATATGGTTTCTAAATACTTTTGCCCGAAATAAGGGAGATTATTGTCAACTTCCGGTTTAGAGAATGTCACTTCCGGTCTCATATGATAGCTTTGATTACACTGATTCCAAAAATATATGGTTTATATATAGTTTTGCCTGTGAAAAGGGAGATAATTGGCTACTTCCGGTTAAGAAAATGTAACTTCCGGTCTCATATGATAGCTTTATTTACACTGATTCCAAAAATATATAGTTTGTATATACTAATGCCTGTAAAAAGGGATATAATATGCTACTCCCGGTTTATAAAATGTCATTTTCGGTCTCAAATGATAGGTTAATGTATGACCATTCAAATAATATATGGTTTCTATGTACTTTAAAATGAAATAAGTGCAAAAAAGACTACTTCCGGTTCACTCAAGGTCACTTCCGGTTGATATTTTTCAAGGTCATATGTCACCCAACATTTTGCAAAAGATCTTATGGCTTTATCATGTACCAATCTGAAGAAATAATCAATTAACCTTAAAATAAAACATTTCAGGGGCAATAACTCCAATAAGATATCACTGGATTGTCTCAGACCAAATGTATCATATCTTCATCACAATATAACAATCATTTTGCACTAGTTCTTTTATATATATAACAAGCAAAAGACAAAATTCAGAATATGACCTTGACCTTTGACCTTGGCTTCATTTTCTTAGTTAGGATCCAAGGACCTCAAATAAAAAGACTATAGGTTTATATGGCTTATGGTTTATGAGTTACAAAAACTTTACGACAAATTTATTTGAAAAAGGTTGATAACTCCTTTAAAATTTCATCAGATCGCTTCGATCCAAATTAGCCAAAAATTCCATAGGATGTAACGAACAAATATGAAAAAGAATTTTGTCGTTATCTTTTTTGGTTATAGAGGAGATACACTAACAAGAAAAACAGTGTTTTGGGAGATAACTCTTACAATAACAAGTCTTCGCCTTCACAAAATGAGTTTTGAAAGCAGAATAACTGTTCGATATAATATCCAAAATATCTAAGCGACATCTTGCGAAACAACTTTATACCGCAAGTAAAGGGTTTGGCGGAAGAAGAAAAAAAAAAATAATTAAAAACCAATTGTTCAGAGAACAATTGAAGGTCTTTCCACTCATAAAGATCAATTTTGAAATAGAACTATTAAAATTTGGTTTAAAATATCATATTCAGCGTCTAATGATAGTTTATTGTACACTGATGCCAAAAATACATGGTTTCTATACATTTTTTTCAAAAAAGGGAGATAAATTGTAACTTCCGGTTTGAAAGATGCCACTTCCGGTTTTATTTGATAGTTTACTTGATACTGATTCCAAAAATATATGGTTTAATATACTTTTACATTAAATAAGTACAAAAAAAAACTACTTCCGGTTTACACAAGGTCACTTCCGGTTGGCTTTTCCATGGTCAAGTGGCTTGCACCGTAATGCAAAAAGTCCTATGGCTTTATCACGTATACATACGAGGTAAAAGCAAAGGTCAAAATCTAGAACGTCAAATTAACCTATGACCTTTAGCTCAATGTCAAGGTCATAAACCGAGTGCTTCAAATCAAAAGACCATGGGTCTTAATTATATATGGTTAATGAGTTATATCACTTGACGCCTAATTTTTAACATATAAGAGAGGAGAAAACTCCAATTTAATGTTAGCGTACCATTTCAACCAAAATTTATGTGTTACGACATGTCGCAACTTACAATTTAGTAAAAATATCTTGTCGATATCTTATACGGTTTTTGGAAAGAAGTGAAAATAAGCCAAAATCAAAATTTATAATATGACATTGACCTCTGACCTTGACCTTATTTTCTTTTTTTTGGATCAAGGACCTCAAATAAAAAGATCCTAGGTCTCTATCATTTATGGTTAACAAGTTAGAAATGCATATCACTAATAACAAACGCATAAGGGGAAATAACTCTCATATGGAGTGTTCATATCGCTTCGGTCAAAATAGGACAAATCATGCGAAGGATATAACAAGCAATTTTATAAAATAAATTTGTTGCTTTCTTTTACGGTTACAGAGGAGATGCAGTCACAAGGAAAACAGTGTTCGGGGAGATAACTCCTACAAAGAAAAGTATTCGGTTACGCAGGGTGAATTTCAAAGGCGCAAAAACTGTTCGATATCATATACCAAACATCTAAGCGACATCTTGCGAAACAAAATTTATACGCAAGAAATAAAAGTGGTGGAAGAAGAAAAAAAAATAATAAATATAAATCAATTGTTTTAAAAACAATTGTTAAACGGTCTTTCCCCTCCGAAACATGATTAATTGGTTTTTTGCTTGGTTGGTTGGTTGGTTGGTTGGTCGTTTGATTGATTGATTGATTGATTGATTGATTGAATGATTGCATGGCACTTTCTCTGTGCGACGCAGCTAACTTAAATAACGCCTTTATTCTGACCGAACGTGACTGCGTACCTTTACATCCCGCACAGCCAAACGGACGTCTGAGATGTACTCATAAAAATTGATCCTAGCATCATTCGTTTATAAATTTTCTCTAGTTTCTATGTTACTTCGGACTTCCATTTTTCATCTATTTGTTGTGTATGCATTGTGATTAAATTTGTAGGAAAACGGAGTAAATTTTATCTTGGAAGTTTTATTTTCCTTATTTGGATATGGAATGTTTTATTCTAAATTTAGGTCCGCGTGCGCGGTGGTGTTTGTGAAGTCACGTGACGCTCAAATATGTATGTCTGGAGTTAATATCTTTTCAGGGGAGACCGTTGAACAGAGCACATGTGTATTGATCAGAGAAACACGATAACTATTGTTTTTATTTTGTACAGGTCATTGATGTCGGATCATGCATACATATTACGTACACATGTTTACGGGAGCACAGATTTGTATTTTAATGCATGTTTAGAAATTTGATTGTAGGATTTCAGTAATATTTACGAACTTGGAACATTGATTTTAATTTCGCAATCAAGCGGACCGCACGTGTCTCATCGATTAATTTCAGAAAATACATGAATTGGAGCAGATTTTTGCAGGGATGGATTTCTATTTCAGAAAGAAATTTGTACATAAGAAGGATTAGCATTTTACAGTATAATGTACGGGACTAAAAGCGATTTTCTTTTCATAGAAATGGGATAAAAATCAGTTGAAAAAAAGGGGGGAGTGTAGTGGTAGACTGTGGTTGATAATTGAGATAAGAAACATTTACAACATGATAGCTGCAAAGTTTGAAGTTTTAAAAAGTAATTTGTTGATTCGAGCATAACAAGGACATTGACCCTGCAATAAAATGACGCGTACCATTTCGACAAAAAATTTCTAGTAAACACGTGTCGCGACAAACTTTTTGGTTAAATTGTTTTGTCGATATCTATAACTCTTTCTAGGAAGAAGCGATATGAACTTAATGTAAAAAATCACAACATGACCTTGACCTTTGACCTTGACCAAGTTTTCTATTCTTTAGGACCAAGGACCTCAAATCAACAGACCCTAGGTCTCTATCACTTATGGTTTACCAGTTACAAATGCATATCACTTATTTCAAATGCATTATGGGAAATAACTCTCATATGGAGTCTTCGTATCGCTTCCGTCAAAAATGGACAAATCATACAAAGGATATAACGAGCAATTTTATAAAATAAATTTGTCGCTTTCTTTTACGGTTACGGAGGAGATGCAGTTACAAGGAAAACAGTGTTAGGGGAGATAACTCCTACAAAGAAAATTGTTCGGCTTAGAATGGGTGAAAATAAAAAGCGCATAAACTGTATGATACTATATAAGAAATATCTAAGCGACATCTTGCGAAACAAAAATTTTACGCGAGAACAAAATTTGGCGGAAGAAAATAATAATAATAATAATCAGAACAAATACAATAGGTCTTTCCACAGAAAAGTGGAAAGACCTAATTATCAGAACAAATACAATAGGTCTTTCCACCGAAAAGTGGAAAGACCTAATAATAATCAGAACAAATACAATAGGTCTTTCCACCGAAAAGTGGAAAGACTAATAATTAAAAACTAAATGTTCAGAGAACAATTGAAGGTCTTTCCACTTCTAACGATTCATTTTGATATGAAAATATTAAAATACGGTTTAAAATGTCATTTCGAGTGTCAAATGATACCTTAATGTACACTGATTCCAAAAACAAATGGTTTCTATACAATTTTGTTTGAAATAAGAGGGATAATTTGTTACTTCCGGTCTGAAAAATGTCACTTCCGATATTATTTGATAGTTTACTTAACACTGATCCAAAAATAAATGGTTCTATAAACTTTTTCATCAAATAAGTACAAAAAGGCTACTTCCGGTTTACACAAGGTCATTTCCGTTGGATTTTCAAGGTCATGTAAATTGCAACCTAATGAAAAAAGTCCCATGGCTTTATCGTGTAGAAATATGAAGTTAAAGCAAAGGTCAAAATCTAGAACGTCAAATTCAACTTTGACCTTTAGCCCAATTTCAAGGTCATAAACCAAAGACATTAAATCAAAGGACCCTGTGTCTCTAATATGCATGGTTAATGAGTTATATCACTATACGCATAAATCTAATTAAAAG